GCTCGGGTTAATAGTGCTTCTTTATTAGTGGAAAGGATGTTTCATGCCCATAGAACACTACATAGCATAAAAGGAACAGAAAGCTACTAAAAAGCTCAAGATGGTAACAAGGACATGCACTAAGTGGCAACCCTTTCAAGTGGCTTCATTCGAAACATTCAGAAAAGAGCTAGACTTGCTCATGAAGCCCAAAACAGAGATCAATCAAAAGGCAGCAAAGAAACAAGGACCCTCTCCACCTCTGGGAACTTGTATTGGGAGATACAAGATGGAGAGCCAGTCACACTACAGTATTTGTATGTGCTGGGAGAGTTTGAAAAGGATATAAAATTAATTTATAAAATACCTAAAGTATGGTCCTTCAGTGTTTTTATTCACATCTTCTACCCACTTAGCTACATTATAGTCTCTTTTGAACCATGGGCTTAAATACCTGCAGAAAGCAATGGAAGGAACAAAGAAAGCAGAACAAGATAGAAAAATCTGAAAACACACAGCACAAGCTTAGCAAGGATGTTCTTCACCCTCCAAATGCAAGTGACTATGGCAAATAAACCAGGATGGATGTTGGGTGGTTATGAGGCAGTCTGTACAATCACATGAGCAGAAACTCGGCTACCACGAGGCTCACGGCATTCTAGAACGGATTCACATTTCAGGAGAGCCTCTCCAGTGGTTTCCCAAAGTGACTCAGAAGCTCTTTCAATTATAGTGCTGTGAGCAATCCCACTCACCCACCTCCACAGGGGCATTTTCCAGGCCACCTCTCACTGGGCTCCTTGGTTTTCAAATGGTAATGGCACTTTCTGAGAACCCTGAGGGCTGCCATTCCAACCTGGTGTTTGGGCACATCACCCCAAGAACAATGAAAAGGAGCCACGTTCTCTTGCCAATATGAAAGGGAAGACTTTAAATGGCCTCTTTCTCCCGATAGCAGATCCCAAGCTGGAATTTAACAAGAAAGGTGCTCCAATCAGCTCTAGAAGGAGCGGGAAAGGTCTCACTCTTCTGATTCTGGAGCCCCAACGCACATTCATCGTGGTCCCAACAGGCCTCCGTGACCTTGAGGCTGGGTTTAGTAATTGAGGTGCAGCTGTCACGGTCCTTCCTCGTCCGCTTGCACTCCAGACTAAAGTGTTCATTTTCCGTTGTGAAACGGCCCTCATAGGTGACCTTCTGAGTGTGTGAGCACCGTGTGAGTGATGGACAGCAGATAATAATGGCCGCAGTTAGCATTTCCCAGGCGGATCTGGCAAAGTCTCCATCAGAATTAATCACAAAGGAAAATCTTAAAGGTAGTAAAATTGGGAGTGCAAGTTTTGTTTTCTTTTCAGGGTTTCCTTTTATTTTTACCCTGGGGGAGGGGTGCGGACTTGCGGGGGGGGGGGGGGGTGGGCAAGCAAAAGCATGTTCCCTTAGTATTTGCCCTCTTAAAATAAATCTAGATTCAACAAATTCAGCCTTGGATGAATTTGGAGATTTTACTGAGTTTTCTCATTTTAAAAAGTAACTTCTAGAAACACTATAGGCAATGAAGATCAAGCTCTGTAAAACTTTTAAGGTTATTTGGAAACAAACCAGGGGAAATGATAAAATATACTATTTGTGGGTCCAGTTTGCTTCTTTCCTCCATATTTAGTTTTAGTTTGTAAATACATTTAAGTATTTAAATGCAAATACATTCAAGTCAAGACTATATTGTCATAGTTACATAAACAAATTAGATTATTTTTTTCCCCATAGTCATTTCCTTTGTTTTTAGCTATACCCAATATATGCTATAAAATAGTTCATGAAGTTCCCTCCTTAGAGAAGGGTCAGGTACTTTATATGCTTCTAAGACCATTTTTGCTAAGACAGTGTCCCTTGATTCTGGAACAACTCACACTAGTTTTGCCTTTAGCCACAATCATTGCCAACTTGTGCTTTTCACAGAGATAGCCATTAAAACTTGCATAAAGATTTCCACTGAGACTCCGAACAAAAAGAAAATAATCAAAAAGCAAGTGCAGCCACAGATGAAGACTCGTGAACGCTCGGGCCTGGGGAAAACTGTGGGGAAAGCCCATGCAGCGGTTGTTAGGTGACACATAGCCACACAGCAAACCGGGTCACCCACAGGCAGGTGGCCACATCCAAGAGACATGTGTTCCTCTCACTGACAATCTTAGGAGCTCAGAGGACTGGTGCCATGGCCATTCCATGAAACCTGCAGCCACATGGCCTGACTTGCCCCTGACGGACCTTTTCTTTCTTCTCAGGAGCATCTCAGGTGGGTGTGATCACTTCACTAGAGGTCACTGAAGAGCGCTCTCAATTGTTGCTCCTCCCGGGGATCTGCTGTGAAAGTGTCCTCACAGCGGGCTTCCTAATCCTCTAGGTCGTGGTGGCTGGAGTGATGGGGTTTTATCAAACTGCTATAAACCTGCCTATGTGGCTTGACTTGGCTTGTAGCGCAACATGCAAAAAATAAAATAAAACGCATTAGACAGGAGAGGAGAGCTCTGTGCGCTCTCCAGGAGAGAAAGGCAGAGGAAAACTAGCTGGTGCTGGCTGGACCAGGACCACTTCTGAGCAGACGTCAGGGGTCCGTCAGAGATTAAATGACCCTGTTCTCAGCCAAGGAAGGGACTCGGAGGGAGATTACGTGGCAGCCCAGAATGGAGGGGCAGGTGGAGACTGACCTGTGATCCAGACTCCCTGTCTGGGGGCTGTCAGAGCCCCCTGGGCTTATGCCTTGGGATGGGACTGTCTGGGCGAGGGAGTGCCCAGGCTCAGGTGCTTGGGGCTCCCTCCTGTAAAAACACAATATATAATACAAAGTCTAAGCCAAAAACTGGTTTAACATCACGTACAACAGTGAGGAAGATGCAAAAGCTTTCAGGGGTGAAACAATACATTAAACCAGGCTATCTTGTGTTCTTAATTAGCAGAGTATGCATTTGTGGTGCATGTTTTAATTCATGTCCTAATGTTTCATCATCCTGTGGGATGATGAGATACTAAAAGGAATGTTGAAATAACAGATCTGGTAATACCTCTTACTCTAAAAAAATTAAAAAGATGTGTTTTTCCATGGTCATTCTGCTCCTCATACGGTCACACAAATGTTGTTGTTATATCAGAGGCAAATGGGATTATTTAACAAATATGGAAAGTATTAAAAAACTGGTCAATATAATTCTTGATATGCTATGTATTAGTATTCCTTCTAAGAAAAAAAATATATATGCAGTATAGTGCCTGTACAATAAGGTGTATGGTCAGCTTCACAGACTTGGCTCCATTTAGGTAACGTGAGACATGTAACCCAAATCTGGAAAGTCTGAAAACTCTGAGGGAATCCTTTATATTTCTTCTTCGTAAAGATAATTCCATTATGATCTCTTATTAAATGTTATAACTGAATTATCTCACAGGCAAGATTTCTCAAGGGCAAGCTAGCAGCATAATATTTATCATATGATGCGAGTGGGAATTTTACAGAAAAAATTGTAAAAATAAGTGATCGCTCTAAAAAACACTGTTATGAATCTTGCTCAACACCAAGTATCCTTTGGGTCCTGAACTCACAGTTTTAATATAATGTTGGATCTTTTTTTCTTAGTCACTTGAGTTTTCAAAGCATTGTTATACGAAATACTGTTAGAAAACTAAACAGTAGGAAGTTCTGAAGAACATTTTGCAATTTCATCTATACTTCTGTGAGCCACTGGGATAAGTTAAGGAGCCCTTCACCAGGTGACCTCATGCAAAATAAATCAAACAACATTCCAAGAAGAGTTTATCCACAATGAGTCCTAAAGCATCCAAGCACTTTGGGGATGTATAAGATAAACTCTAACAGATTAGTTATTTATGATGGAGTTCTATGATGCCATTCTGGGCCATGCAATGGTATCACTTGAACCTATCTATTGTTTCTATGGTAAAATATCCTCTAGTAAACTTCGACAAGCCACTTACAAGACAATACCATCAGCAGGAAGGTCCGAATTTCAGGGCAATGTTATTGTCGTGGACTGAAAAAGGCAGGGTATACGATGGGAAAGCTAACATAAGTTTCTGAGAAGCAGTTAACCAATACCTGCTATTCAGATTTTTTAAAATATTGAAGTCATAAAGAAGCAACAGAGATCCTGGGAGGAAGAACTAGCACTGAACTGAGATATTAGTAAAAAAAAAAATTTTAAATGGATCAAAAAAACATGGTTAATTAAAACCAGGTGGCAAAATCCAGAAGCAGGGCCAGGTGTTTTATTCCATGGGGTTTGGGGAAGCTTAGTTTTGCTTGTACTTTATTCAGTGGAGAAACAAGCAAACACAAAAATGTGTTTTATAAATGACTTAAATGTAACTTCAGATCCCATCCCCACTTTAAAAAAAAATGTGGCTATCCTTCAAAATGGATAGTGTTGCATTTAGTGACAATGATTCCGTTAAAGAGCAAGTTTAGGTAAATGCCCTTATAAATGTCCAGGGAAGAAAAATTTAAGAGGGAAAGGAATTCCATGAGTCTGAGAGAATGCTTAGCGTGCTGCCAGGAAGCCCGGGAGAGGCGGTGTCCCCGTGAGCAGCATCATGCTCTAGGACCGTGGGAATTTCCCCTGATGCTTCTAGGCTGTGTGACTACTGGGGAGAGGAAGGGTGACCCCTCTGAAATGGCTGGACCCCAGGGGATGAGAAGAAAGGAATGTTATCAAAATTCCCTTCAAACACAACCAAGACACCACAATGGCAGGGAACTGGAGCAAAAAGCCCGCAGCGAGGGCCAGACCCCACGCTGTCAGTGAATATTGCTTTGGGCACAGTTGCGGAGATGCCTATGTAAAAGAGAAAAGCCATGGTTAATTTTAAAATGGCAAAAAAGGAACTGAAAAGACAAAACCACAGCCAGAGGCATGGTTTATAGTTCTCTGACGAGCTGGTTAATTAGCTTTCCACACTAACTGCACAGGACCTTGGATGATAGCCTTTTTCCAGGAGAGGTGCAGACTTACTCAGTGGAATTAGACCGAGGTCTAAATCTTTTGCCTCTGATTTTCTTTCTGTTGCCTCCCACATTACCTGAAAGAAGATAGTTTATAGCTAGATTTGAATATAAATAATTAAAAAAAACCACCATATGTTTAATTACATCGTATTTCAAGTGGGTGTCATTTACAGCTAGCATCACCCCGAGCACAGGGCTTTATAGCTCTGTACAACCTTCCCAATGTGTCTAGTGCACTGGTGCTATCAAATCCTCTCATTTCCCATCCAAGAAAAAAAAAAGAACTGAACTCATAATAAATGCCCTTTCTCTACTGGGAGAAGAGCTAACGAGCTCACAGAAAAGAACAAGTCTTTACAATCAGGAGCCACAGGATATAGAATTTGGGTCGTGTGGACAGATGGGTTCAGAATGCCACCCTGTACCTTGCCAAGAGTTACTTCGAGGTCGCCCATTTTCACAGATGTCTGTATGCTTCGTGTCTGGAATCCTTTCACTCCAAGAATGAGAGAGTCCGTTTGACCTGAAATTGAAAATGTGTATATATTGTGCAAAAATATAATCCAATGAATGTTTAGAAATCATTAAGCAAAACTTGTAAGTGTTGCTGTGCGTTAAGTAAATCAAGAAAGAAAAAAATCTAAAATGAAAGAATGAACAGAACATGAACATCTTCATGAAAAAGGCAAAATTACACAACATTCAATTTAAGAAAAGTCAAATACAATGGAACCCCATTACAACAGTTTATCACTGCAAAGTATCAGGATACGATGCAAGCCAATTACATTCCCCAGAGCACAAACACTACATAGAGCAAATTCACTACATATTTCGGTTATACAACCCAAGTAGCAGAGTTCTAATGGGGTCCCACCATAGATGTTTCTTAATTGTAAAGCAATGGTTTCCATTCAAATATTATGAGAACATGGACTTCCAAGAGATTTCATTAAGATTTGTTCTATTTAACCTGGCTAAACTTTATCAGAGGAATACTTAGTTTTTTTTAAAAAAAAAACAATAAAATTATTTTCTGAGAATTGGCATTTTCTCTACATATATGGCACTCCCAAAATGTAGTTAACTGTCCAATAAGTGTTAACTGCCCAATAAGTAAACTGAGTCATATGTTTGTTGTGGGAGTATCTCTCACAAAGCCCATGCACCATGAAGCCCTTCTGCTATTTAAATCAATTGTCCTGGCATCTTTAAATGAATCGTCTACAAGAAGCAAAATGTCCACACCTACCTTGAACCACATAAGAAAAGTATTTTAACAAACTACATATACTTAGGAGAAGTCACATAATCTGATACTATTTTTAACTGCTTAAAAGTCATAACCCATTGAGATTTTGCTAAAATCTGGGAATGATTCAAATCAATACTTCAAACCCTTCTTGAGCTACTGTAGAAAATAGCATTATACTTAAAATCCTGTCCACATAGCATTCAGTTAATGCTAATAATGCCTATTTTATAAGGAACTTTCTTCATTGAATAAAAATAAATCGACACAATTATTATATATGAATTCCCTAGATTGGAACTTTTTCAACATCATTTGCTGATTAAGAATGATGCCCATTTTGTACAGGACAACAGAAATTCTACTGGACCCATTGATTTCTCCACTTATTTACCTTATTATTTACTTTAACATTAAATATTTGACCGAGAAAAAAAACTTCCATGCTGAGAGAATTTAAGTAAATCTTATTCTCTTACTCAAAAAGCCCCTAATAAATTAAAAGAATAATTTTTTAACATCCTTCCGTAGAATTGCACTTGTTTTGAAAAACAAACAAACACTATTTTTACTTTTGTTTTAAGCTGTGCTATCTTAGTAAAAACACCCCTTCATTCTTAAGATAGTTCCAAGGTGGAGTTCCCAGATCTCCCCAATGTCTTCTACTGTCCTTCCTGATTATTTATAAAGAGTGAAATCCACTGCAGAATTTTTACAGGCGATTCACTCTCTTTAGAACTCCAGGAGAGATCATGCTTCTTTTCAATAAACTAGCAATCTACAAAGTAACTACTATGACCAAAGTAATAATCAGGGCTATCAATCTTTTTTTTCCTATATATTATACCCCCACCAACAATTTAAAAAAAAATTCTCCACAGGAAAATTTTAGTGTCTTTCAATGAATGTCTTCTTTCCTAAAACATCCCACCTATTTATTTCTGCTATCAGTTTATTTTATTAAGCAATTATAAAGCATGCAGAATTCTAAATGGTGTCATACACCTTAAGTTCCTGCAGCAAAAATATAGCATCAAAGTTTAAGACATATAAATAATATCTTAACCCCATCCACAATATTATAGGACTTAAAGCATTAAATATACTTAAATTTAACTGGCAACCAAGCTCTAAGTCATAAAGTCTAGAAATAATCATTCCAGGCATAAAAGGCAAAATCATAATATTCAAATATATGATTCACAGAGAAGCAATCTTTTTTTTTCACAGCAAGCTTAGCTTTGATATATTTACAATTAAAACATAGTCAACGCAGCATTCATATTACCAATTTATTTTAACAGCTGCTTTTATCGAAGCATGACAGTAACCTTTTTCTTTGACTACCAAACATGACATAAAGCTCACCATTTAAAATATGATAGAATACTAGGTATAGTTTCTTAAGCCATATAAAGAGCAAGATTGAAAAACTGTAGGGTTTCTATATAGAGTTAACATTGTTTTGTTTTGTTTTGTTTGGATTTCTGGTCTGATTTGTTAAACAAGTGGTTCTGAGCATATGGCATTTTGAATCAGAGTAATCAAAGAACAAAGGATACTATTTTTTTTAACATTCAAGAAAGAAGGAAGAAGTAATCAAACCTGCTGCAAAATAATGAAATGTTCTGACTAATGGAATAATGTGTGATGGAACAGGTAGAAATCTGAAAATGCGACAGAAAAGCAGACCTCTTCTTAGAACTAGATGCTGAGTTTGTGCTGACTCCAGGAGGAATGTCGCTATAAAAAGAGTCACCATCTCCAGGCTTTTTTACATAATCTCCCTGGGGTAACTGTCTAAGGCATAATAAACATTTCAGAGTCAGAAAACAAGACACACACACATGAATACAGACATATACAAATATTATTTCAGGAAAAAAAGAGGGAGGGATAATGATCTACATGAGTCAAATCCATAACAACACATGAGATTATTCATACATGTGACAAGTTCAAGTCCTCCTAGAGATCAGAAATGCAGTCGCTGAAGCCTTTACAGTCTGAATGAATAAAGCTTTGCTTTAGGGGGAAAATATAGAAAGATGAAGTTTTTCATTGTCAGTTCACTATACTTAGAGGTGTTCACTGCAGCTTTTGTCTTAAAAAAAAAAGAAATGGTGCCGAAGGAGCCCTGTTGGGCAGACAGTCCTTGCCCAGATAAGACATCGTTTTTTTCACTGTGGTGAATACACTATTCATGATTTCTAAACATTATATAAAGTAACCTTGATTGGTCCTTTAAAAAGACGGATGGATTTCTAAGCTATATTCTATAACTTAATCCAAATAAACTCTCATTCAAGGTCTCTGTTCAATTTGGAACTTCACTGTTGATTGCACAAAAATATGAAGAAATTGAAAAAGATTCAAAGGTGAGTCAAACATATAATTCTATAACTGCACAGTAGAATATGTAAAGGAAGATAATTTAGCAAGAGGAGAAAAGGGTTAAAAAATAACTGAATCTTGATGAAATGATGGAAGGATAACTGTAGGTGGTTGTGGGTAACCTCGGTTCTCTATCTCCACCGTAGGAGTGAAACGGGGGAAGTCTGCCCTGTTACTGACTACTCGCTCTGGTGATTAACTAGGATGGGAACAGATTCCTATTACTTCCTCTGTCTAAAGGGATAGGGTAAAAAACTTTAGATTGGACTGCCTCGTCGGCCCCCTTCCTCAGTAGTTAATCTCATCATTTGCCAGTGCCTGGCCCACAAGCAGCCAACTGAATAAAACACTTGATTCAGTTCCATTCAGTACTATTGTAGGAGGGCACGGACTAGTGTTGGGTGGAGAATTTCAAACAGAGCTGTGCTGAAAAAGGTCTCCAACAATGGTGCACATTTGCTAACTCCTTTTCTCTTTTGGTTTTTCCTTAGTTACCATGCTAGTCATGATTACTTGCTGATGCTAAATTCTATCCAAAATATACCACTTTCAGATGTTTGCTTCCTTACGCAAACACTGTTTCAAATGTTTGAAATACTTGGTCATTCACTCTCTTAAAGTACCAAATATCCTCACTCATATTATTTCAATCCTATATATGTATTCATACATCTTTACAAATCTAAAGATTTTCTGACATAAAGTACATATATTAATTTGTGAAATTAAATCTACTCCTCCCCTTGAAAGAAAGAACTCCTCATTAAATTTATAAGACTAATTTTATCTATAATTCTTTGATACATAATCCTTCAAAATATTTTAACCCTTTAAGTTTTAACCCTTCAAGTGACGTCAGCTCATAATTGTAATCGTCCTGTTTCCCAGGACATTATGAAAAATTAATTTTATTAAATATATAATACAATTCTTCCATATTTATAGTGTTAATAATATAGGACAAATAATATATCTTCTTATGCAAGAGATCTTTAATCTCTGCAATTATATTTTCTTTCTTGCCGTACATCAGTAAAATTGTCTATCAATGCTTGAAAAATGCTCTCAATAAAATAAAAGTTCTCTGTTGCCTTTTGAATCATTAATATTTATAAAGGAATTGCAGAGAATATCCCATCAACATCACATTTCCAATAATAATCTTTATGTTTAACAACTCATGTTTGTCATTATTACCTTTAATGATAATCTTTCTAAGCTGATGAGATGTGGCTCACTAAATTCAAATTAAATGAAGACAAGTTCCAACTACACTTGACCTTTCCTGAAGGTAATTTCCTCCGAATTACCTTCTCCTTACATGTCTCTGGCATTTAGGCATTTACTAAGGCCTTCTTAGCTGATAGCACAGGATTAAATGGATTACCTCTAACAATGGATGGCACCCAGTTTTTTTAATTTTTTTAACTGAGCCTGTTTTATCACTCCTTCAGTAATTTCTGTGCCGTACATATCTTCTTTTGCACAGGGTACAAACATCTTAAATGCTAAAAATATCGTAAACTGTGCTTTTCAGTCAGAGGGCTGGAAGGGAGTTTAAGTTCAATGAATTTCTGGGACAGCTTGTTTTTTCACCCCAGGCAGATCATATTCTTAGCTATTTCAAAATACAGAACTACTTTGCATTCTTAAAATTCCATTAGTAATACATGTAACTTTTTTCACATAGTAAATACATAAAAATGTTAATGATTACTAATTTTGTTAAAGATCTCAAGCATAAAATTGAACACCTTTCACGGTCCAGAAATGGACCCTTTTAAATATCCATTATATATTATAACAAACTTATATCTTCTTGTTTAACCTTTAGTGAAGATAGAGAATATCAGGTCCCCATGATCAAGAAAATAACATTTCATCATTTGTTATAAAAGATCATAAATGACCAACTAAATGATCTCTTTACATTTTTTAATTGAATTTATTTTTCTAGTCTTTGTGTCTTTCTTACTAAATTTTGGTGGTTTCATAGAATTTTGGAATCTAGTAGTGACTTGAAAATCACATTAGGTGGTCTGACCAGTGCTAAGTTTTATAATAGGAAAAGTACATCACACTCCCCATGTCATATGTAAATATCTTAGACATGTGCATGAATTTTAAAAAATAAATAATGACCAAAAGAAAATAAAAGCTTATTTAGTTAAATTCTTTTTACTCAAAAAAGAATTGTGAGGGAAGTCTGATCTTTCCTAAAAGGGTCCACTGAATCATAATATTTAATTTAATAATTCTTGCACATTTTCAAAATGAGAATACAATGAAAAAATATTTAATTAAATCTTCACCTTAATCCTGAAGGAGGCATTTCTCCAGTACTTTGTCAGTGTCTGGGCTGTCTGTCATTGAAATGATTACTTTACTTTTTTAAAAAATATTGTGTAATGTGTACCAAGTCACACTGACAGATGCATGACTATCATTGGAATAATCATATAAAAACAAACTAAGAAAGGCTTGAAAAAAAAGGAGTGAGGTTCACAAGCAGAAAATAAAGTGGCTAAAATAGGTGAGAGAAAAGAAATGGGGAAGGGCATTTCTGCTGAAGGCATAGATCAGTAACACATGATCTAATTGTTTATTCCATTTCACCTTAATCATAATGATGTGTGTTCATTTCAGACAAAGAAAGATAATATTTAAGCTGAATATAGATGCCTTAGAAATCCAAGTTCCATTGATGTTTTCTTATTCTATTGCTATTTGCAAATCTGCTTGAAAACTGAAACTCAAACTTGTAATTCTTGTTATAAAGTGTACAGCTGCTAAGTCCTAAAGCAATTATGCTAAAGTATAAGCAATAGCATGAACTGAAAAAATCATGGAGGCCTTCTTCACTGAAGACTTGAAAGAAAAGGACCAACCAATAGCCATCCTTCTAACTACAGGACATATAAGGACTCTCCCTGGCTCCTAGGCTCCATGGTTCTTCCCTTCACAATATGACCCTGGCAGGTTTAAAGTGATGTCATTCATGTATGGGCTTCTGCCTCCACTCTGCCCCAGAATGAAGCTTCTATATTCCATTAAGGCATTTGTAGACAAAAAGGAAAAAAATGGGTTTGCTTCTTATCTTTTCGTCAGACCTGCTATTAAACCTATCAAAAATCCCTTCCTATAATAAAAACCGTGAGGACATGTTCTCAGAGGAAACATTTATTAGGTATCTTCACAGAATTACTGGTCTGACTTCTCCAATATTTTGAAAGTTATGCCCAATTTGGTATTTCTGAGCTATTATGTAATTAATATAAATCTGATAACTGGCTACCAATTTAATATGGTCTTGCATTTAGTGTCAAAGCAAACTTTTATGTTCATCAATCCGTTCACCAGCTTAACCAGTATGTGCAGGGCTCGCTTATGTCGATGAATGCCACCTTCCTCTCTGAGAACCACATCCATCTCTTTCATTTGAAGATCAGAGTAACACAATGTCTTCAGAGACCACATACCAATAACTTCCCTTGCCATAATGCTTTACAGATTACAAGGAACTCTATCTGGTTTGAGAGTTGAGGAAAGTTTAAGTGATTTCCCAACACCACATACTAGCAAGTAGGTGTCTGATTTCTTGTCAATGGGCCTCTTACCATGGAACCTCAAAGAAAAACTCAATTTAAAGGCAAGGACAAATCAAAATTCTTATTCCTACGTTCTGGCATCCTTTGAAACTGTGCACATCTTTAATTAAGTATCTGAAGATATTTTTACAACTGTAAATTTCTTAATGCATGCTTTTGTCCATTGGCCTTACCACTTTCTCTATAATCACTTAACATATATTCTCAAAAAGAAAAATCATTCAGAAGATATTTATACATTCATGGCTTCCTGATCTAAAGTCCATTCTGCTACTCCTCCACTGTGAGAATTCTTGTACAAACCCAAGATTCATTAGCTATGGACAAGGGCGTAAATAAATAAAGGTTGTATTAAAACAAATCAAAATAAATAAAATAAATATCTGCTTAAGATGAGACAAGTCTCAAAACATAAACTAGATTCCAAAAGAGTAGTCAGATTGAGAAAATGATGATCAGTACTACCAACAGACATGAAATCATACCAGGTACACAGAGTCTTAGTGTAAACATCTCCTTAACTATACCTATGCATATACTGAGTTAGAATAAGACTGGTGCACAGCTTTACATATTCATTTTTTTTTTGTACTGTGGACAACTCCTTTATTCTGGACAGTGTCCCTGGTGAGGACACATCTTGGAGCACATTACTTTCCCTTTTATAGTATCCCAATGTTAAATTACATTATAGCTTTAGCTCCTATGGAAATGAAGTTGAATCATCAATTTTTTTATCTAGTCAGCCTACTTCTGTTTTTCCCGGAAGAAAGCCACTAAACTTAGATTTCTGATATGATGAACAACTTCTACTCAACAGAAAGCTTAAATGGCTCCGGCTCTTCTCCAGTGTTTCAACACACAAGAGTTTTAAAACATGGCACAGAGAAATCTGTTTTTAAATTTTAATTAAACTTATTAAATTAATAAAATTTCATTTTGCCTGTTTTACTTTTTGCATTAATAAGGAGTTAGTTACGCCAGGGCAAGGTCAATTGTTTCTAATACCTATATTAACTGACCAGGATCTCAGTTGATACCCTGTGGGCACCATTTATTTATGGAGACTCTGTAGATACTTACGGCTAAATCTTACGGAAATTTTAAATTACAACATGGAAGAAAACAGAAGGTAAAGTTTACAATTTTCATTGTAAAAGTCTTGCCATGTTTATTACATCTTATTCCTAATTGGCCACAGTCATTTAATAAAACAGTAGGAAAAGCTAAGGAAGTAGTAATCTGCAAAGATATCTTGAGTACAAAACTAGTAACTCTATGATGTACAAGACCTGGTCTGGGCTATCAATTTCCAGAATATTTCATTTTGTATCAATAGCTAACAGCATTAGTACTTTTTTTTTTTTTTTTTAATATATTTTATTGATTTTTTACAGAGAGGAAGGGAGAGAGATAGAGAGTTAGAAACATCGATGAGAGAGAAACATCGATCAGCTGCCTCCTGCACATCTCCCACGGGGGATGTGCCCGCAACCCAGGTACATGCCCTTGACCGGAATCGAACCTGGGACCTTTCAGTCCGCAGGCCGACGCTCTATCCACTGAGCCAAACCGGTTTCGGCAGCATTAGTACTTTTTAAAATGAAAAGGGTGTACTCAATATGGGCTAACTTAGATTTATTTAAAAAATAAATTCTTACAGAACTATAGAAATGCTTTGTATCCCTTTTTATGCTGTAGATTAAACATAGATTTTAAGGTTATGGATGAATGGGGTGCCTGGCTCTATTGGCTTTTTTTTTTTAATTTTTTTAAAAAATATATTAGACAATCAGATTCCAACTATGCAAAGCATTTCTTTAACTACCTGAACAATGATCTGTTCAGTACAAAAATATTTTCTTATGCAGAGATTAAACAGGCTCATCACATGCCAGGACATTATCCCGATCACAACACTGTGCCCATAGAAATTGTATCACTTGTGAGTGGAAGTTACTGATATAACAACAGTAACAAATAAACAATAAATCCCCTCCGAAAGTACTAGGCAATAATAGTGTTATAAACATGAAGGAAAGCTAATTAATGTAAACGGTGACACCTTAATATAGAGGACACTTGTTTTAGAAGGGGAAAAAAATCAATTTCCCTACAGATTACTATAAAAGTAACACAAATAATTGTAATATTGCTGGATGAAAAAAAACATTAAAATTAAATAACATTTTAAAAGTAATACATTTCACAGCACCATTATTAAAACTGTCATTTTAAGGTCATGAAAAATCAAGTTTAGTGTATGACTACTTAGCATAAAAAAAGTAAACCTGACTTATAATTGCATATATGAATTCCAAAGATGCGAACAGGATTTAAAATTTTCAGTTGTATGTTGATTATTCTCATCACATACCTCTGTTCTCGATAGTTTCTTTTCATGGACAAGTAGAGAAAGGGAAAAAAAGAATTAATTACCTACAAAAGTACATTCAGAGAGAGCATTAAACATAAAAGCTTTAGCATTCATTGAACGGTCTCCACTATAGGATTCTGACTAGCAGAATTAAAACAGGGAATCTGAAGTCACAAAACACACATTTCACTTATCTTTAGGAGAAGAGACACCAAAGGATTAATGACAATATTTTCAAATAACTATTTTTAAAGCATAAAAACTTCAGCTATTAAAGAGTAACTTTTCTCAATATCAATTGCATCATATTAAATACTGTATTTTGTAATGTTCTAAAGTCAACCCTGTTTCAAATACAGGTTTTCAGATGTGTATATTGTTTTAAATAATAAAATTAAGTAATCAAGTTACTTATATAAATTGTTTTAAAAAATAAAAATCATAATCCGTGCCTTTTTAGATACAATATATACCCAAACTAAAGCTATACCTAAGGATTCAAAGTAGGAGAACATAAGTGGACACTAGAACATTTTATTTCATCATGTGTGATAAATTAGAGTCAGTTAATTCACAGGTGTTATGGGCCTCCTAAATTATTACTACTTACTCACAAGCTCCACATTAGAAACACTATGTTCAAAGTTTAGTCTCCTGTATTTTACGTGGTCATATACTACAATAAAATTACACGAGTTTCAAAATAAACCAATCTGAAAAAAAATGTGTTCTAGGGGATGTGGTATTGAGGCACCAGTGACTTTTAACTTTTAACTTAAAAGAGCTAATTTATAATGTTCTATCATGACCTAATTAGGTGTTAATATTTTGAGGACAAGTTAGAAAAGTAAACCAACTGAACAGTGGGCTCCTTCCCCCAAGATCAAGATGTTTCCTCATGGATTTTGTTTGGAGCACCGTTACCTGCCGATCGATTCTGTGTGCCCAATAAGTATCTCATTTAATGATGAGCTCATGAGGTTAAAAGTGCCAATTAGTTACTTATTATTTTTCATTCCTGAAACCATTAGATGGCGGAGAAATATGAGCCCTGAATCTTTTTGTTCAACATATTTTACTTTTTATTCTCTCAATCTGATTACCTGAGTAGTCCCCTAGTTTCTTATTTCCTATTCTGCTATTTCTTGACTCGCTCTAAAGCTTGAATAAGGGGTAGAAAGTTTAATTGGAAGGATTAATGAGAAAATAAATGAGCTCTCAGGTCCTAAATCCAGTTTTTGAATTTGAAATAGAGTATGTGGAACATCATATTAATAAAATTAATTTCTGTATTAACATTTTCTACATTCTCATTCTATTTTTAAACACATTCCTTATAAGTTTGATAACATTAAAACATTCATCTTTTAGGTTCAAATTATTTATGAAAATGATACTGCAGTACAGAAAAAAAATGTCTTTTTCCTTAATGGATCTGCAAAGTACATATATTTAGAAATAAAAATAAAAACAATGACACTTCAAAAATTTTTATAAAAATAAGAAATGATATACAGAAAGAAGTACTTTTAATTCTAATCATTAAAATAAATGAGCACAGGTCATTTCATTAGCAATAGGAGATGTTTAGGGTTTCATATTTTCTGAAAGGTTATTTTTTCCAAGATTCTACAAATGAAATATTGTTCTGGCTAGTGTGGCTCACTTGATTGGAGTATCATCCCATACACCAAAAAGTGGTAGGTTTGATTTCTGGTCAGGGCACATACCCAGGTTGTGGGTTCAATCTCTAGTCGGGGCATGTGTGGGAGGCAACTGATCAATGTTTCTCTCTCTCTAAAATCAATACAAAATCTTAAGAATGTATTACAAATGAAATAACAACTTGCATCAGTAGGTGGCAGAAAATCACACAATATAGAACTAACAATTTTGCTATCTCCTTTCACATGAAAATGAAACCACTGAGCTACTTCAAAACAACGCTTGTGATGGCAATTACTACATAAGTCTTGCATCAGGCAAGTCAATGATATTGTGTAGCTCCAAGATGGAGTTAATTCACCTGAGGTGTGAGGGGAGATCAAACAATATTCAGAAAAGCCTTCCTTTCGGACTATAATTTTGTAACTCCAAATGTTATGCTGAAATCAGCCTGTGCAAGTGAAAGTATACAATATACCTAATGACCAGCACATCAAAGAAGCCCAGAGGTATTAAGCATCTATAAGCTGGTACAGAGTGAGATATTCATTTAATCAGGGCAAACCATTACTACAGTGGGGCCTTGACTTACGAGTGTCCGACTAACGAGTTTTTTGAGATACCAGCTGTCTCTTGGCCAATTTTTTGCATTGAGTTGATAGAGTAATTTGAGTTAACGAGCTCCTTAACGAGCTCCTTAACGAGCTCGGTCTTGGAACAAATTAAACTCGTAAGTCAAGGCCTACTATGCTGTATGTGATAAGTTCATAATGCCTTCCTCAAATGGCTTTCTGTATTTTAATGCTTGCAGCATACAAACTAACGACTCTCTCTTTTCAATCAAAGAAACTCTTTCAGGGTTCTGACCTCACCACAAGCAACAGCCACATACGCTTTTAAAGGTATTCCATTTGATTCCATTGGTTTAAGATCATGCCAGGTGATAATAATAACAGCAAACAATTACATATTGCCTAGCCAGTGGTCGGCAAACTCATTAGTCAACAGAGCCAAATATCAACAGTACTTCTTCAAAATAGACTCGCCCAGGCCGGAAACCAACTTCTGCGCATGGGCCACGAAGTTTCAATCGCAATGTAAGCGTGCCCGCACATGGTATTTTGTGGAAGAGCCACACTCAAGGGGCCAAAGAGCCGAATGTGGCTCGAGAGCCACAGTTTGCCGACCACGGGTAGTCTATTGAAAGCTTTGGAGTAATTTTAAAGTCTGAAGTATTCTAATTCCCAAGTCTTTCAGTGAACTAAGTTTGGTCTATGAGGGGGAAAATGCTATAAAGTAAGGTAATGCCCAGAGTGCCTAGGAAAAGTCACAGGACTCACAAATGGAAAAACTCTAGGGCTGGGAGCTGAAATATCATCAGAATCAGCAGAACTTGAGCTTTAAGTTGAAATATTAAAGAGAACTTAAGGTTCACCTTGTTTACGTTTTAATTTATTAAAAATGAATAAAATGTTTGAATACTAAGGACAGTTTTCACATCATAAGATTGAAGTACTTGAACATATTAAATACGTAAATGTTTGGAATATTTGAAGCCATTTACTTAGCTAAATGCTTAAGGGGATCTGATTTTCAAAAATTATATGGCATAACTTTTAAAAATTTATAAAGTGAACCAAAAAAAACTGTAAGGCGAACTTTGATGCATAAGGAAGGAATTAGGCTTTTAAAAGCTATACTTAAAGTTGAATTTCAATTTTAACAAACATCTCTAAGCAGTCTTTTCTTCATGCAAAAACACCCACATATTTAACCAATAGTGCCTCCTTTATACTGGCTGTGAAGATGAAAAGGTTTTGCCCTCAGCCCCAGGCATGGCCATCGCAAGCACTCAGGACCAGATCTGTGGCTGCTGCTCTTGTTGCTATGACTGTTATTATTAAAGTGCTATGCTCTCTAGTTGACAATCTTGCCTAGACTTCTGGGTATGGTTTAAGTTAAGAGAGAACCTGTGTCATTAAAAGAGTAAGCCAACAGAACCTCTGTGTAAGACACAATTTAGACTGATTTTACTTCACATAATGGGTTTTTTAAAAATATTTTTTTACTGATTTCAGAGAGGGAGAGATATAGAAACATCAATGATGATAGATAATCACTGATGGGCTGCCTCCTCCCCTGAGGATAGAGCCCAAAACTCAGGCATGTGAGCTGACCGGAAATTGAACAGCGACCTCCTGGTTCATAGGTCAATGTTCAACCACTGACCCACACCAGCAGGGCTCACATAATGGTTTTAAGACAGTATTTAGTATTTTAGAACAGATGGGGGTTATCTCAAACTCTAAAAACAACGATAAATTATTATCACCTCGAATCATGCCAAGTACAATCATTGATTGAATAGTGAGCCAGACTGATTTTCACTGACAAAAAACTTTCTAGGTGTTTAATTCACTTGAACAAACTGTTTTAAAATATATGCTGATAGTAAAAATATTACTATGAGATATTTCACTTACTTATAACCCCATGCAGTCATTCCTAATATGAGGGCCAACACTAAAATGGTGCCAGCAATTATGCCTATTATGATATTGGTACCAGCAACACCTGGAGAGAAAAAGGGAACAATGAAAATCAATCTCTGTGATTGGAAATTTTTTTAAAAAAATATATTTTTATTGATTTTTTACAGAGAGGAAACAAGAGGGACAGAGTTAGAAACATCGATTAGCTTCCTCCTGCACGCTCCTTACTGGGGATCAAGCCTGCAACCAAAGTACATGCCCTTGACTAGAATCAAACCTGGGACCTTTCCGTCCACAGCCGGACGCTCTATCCACTGAGACAAACCGGTCAGGGCTTGATATAAAATTCTTTCAGGAATTTATTCTCCAGATTTGTAATCTTCATTCCAACAACATTATTTTAAGATATGTTTAAAGTAGGTATTTTTTAAAGGGAAGAAAAATCAACCATAACTTAACAATATGCATCAATATTGTGTATGTTCCAATTCTTGCCCTGATTATTTCTAAATAACAGTGTGACTTTTAACAAGTAACTTAAATCTATGGACCTGAATAGCATCATCTCTGCATTAACTGCTAGAACAAGCTCCGGACTACCACTGCTAAGACTACAGATACCAAACTCCTTTTTTTTTGTTTTTCAGTCCCTGGGCCAGTACTCTATCCACTGAGTCAAACTGTCTAGGGCCGTGGTCAGCAAACTGCAGCTCGCGAGCCACATGCGGCTCTTTGGCCCCTTGAGTGTGGCTCTTCCACAAAATACCACGTAGGTGCGCACGTACAGTGCGATTGAAACTTCATGGCCCATGCACAGAAGTAGGTTTTCGTAAAGGAGATATATGAAACAAGTATACAAGATGAGTGTGGATGGGAGAGTTGGAAGGGGTTGACCTCAGGGAACGTACCTCAATCAGACTGAGGACGTTTTTAGCAAAGGCCAGCTTAGGAGTACCCTAATTAAGTTAATAACAATGTACCTACCTATATAGTTTATGTTTAAAAAATTTGGCTCTTAAAAGAAATTTCAATCGTTGTACTGTTGATATTTGGCTCTGTTGACTACTGAGTTTGTCAACCACTGATCTAGACAAGTCTCAACTGGGCTGACTGGGCACTTCAAGTCTCTGCCATGTATCTGTTCCATGCCAGTAGGCTCCCTCAGGAATGTCCTCATGGAGATGACAGAAACAGAAGAGCAAGGCCTCTCGAGTTGTAGACTTGGAAGCACCATACTTGCACTTCTGCTTCATTCTATTACCCAAAGCCAGGCACACGGTCAAGTCCAGAGACAGAGGCAGAGGACACTTCAAAGTTAAATGCCCAAGGGGGTGGATGCAGAGAGGGTAAACAATCATTCAACCCATCAGCAAGACCTATCAATTCTACCTTAGAAATACTTTCCACAACTGTCCCATACTCCTTCTATCTTATTGCTACCACCACTTCAGTTCACCATGATCTCTCTTACCTATCACCACCTGACTGCTCTGTCCAAATCTTTCTTGTCCATTCCTTCTCAGACCATTCTCAATGCAGCAACGAGAATAAACTTAAAAAGAAAACCTGCTCTGACCACTCATTTAATTAAGTCTGCCAAATGGTTTCCTATTGTTCTCAGGATAAAGGTGAAAATCCTGACTAAGGCCTGAATTGTTTTCAATTTTCAATTGAGGGGTTATTTTAAAGCAAATAGGTGAACCTGGTGAAAGGGAGAAAGAGTGAAGAGGGAGTGTGGGAAAGAGAGGCTTTGTAATGACTTCCATGTGAGGACAACCTGGGACCCCATTGTCCAACCTCATCTCCTTCCATCCTTTCTTTCAGTTTATGGTTGGAACACATCATAATTCCCCAACTTGTACACTATTTCAAGCCTCTGGGGGTCTTACTTGGAATGGTATGTGTCCAAGTAGAGTTCTTTATCTCTCCTTTTGGTACGGATTGAAAACCCCTGTGCCTTTCTCCGTTCCTTCTTCTAGGGAAAAAGAAGAGAGGAGAGGAGAGGAGCGCAGATTGGTTTGGCTGAGTGGATAGAGTGTTGGCCTGCAGATTGGAGGGTCACACGTTCGATTCCAGCCAAGGACGAAAGAGAGAGGAAGAGAGCGAGAGGAGGAGCTTTTTTGGAGAGGAGGAAGAGAGTGAGAGGAGGAGCTTTTTTGGAGAGGAGGAAGGGACCCCCACCCTGAAGGGGCTGTGGCCAGCCTGCAAAAGGCCCTCAGCTCCTCACCCAGGTTGGCCAGGCACTCCAGCTGGGAACCCCACCCTGAAGGGGGTGTGGCCAGTCTGAATATGGCCCTCAGTCCCTCACCAGGCTGGCCAGGCACCCCAGCGGGACCCCCACCCTGATCCAAGACACCCTTCAGGGCAAACCAGCCGGCCCCCAGCCATGCACCAGGCCTCTATCCTATATAATAAAAGGGT